AGATATGGAACCCCCACTACTTGATCATGGTGGGAGAGGGCCGAGAAACATGAAGGAGGTTTACCAGCATCGAAGAAAAGAAAAACAGGAGGAAGAGATCAATTCCAGACGGCCTGCCCTACACACACACTGCCCAGAGCATGTTTTTCAACTTTCATACTGCTCTTTCCGGATTTCAGCAATAGTTTCCAAATTAATTTGCAAGATTTATTCTTGTTCATAGCCTTAGTTTAGGTTTTTCCATTCTCGTTCATATTTTTCCTCAAAGATTTCAATTTAGGTTAGTTTTTAAGCATTTGGAAGCAATTCAGCCTTCAAAACAGGTCTGCCTTGTTGATTTGGTTAGTTCCTCTCTCTTTTGTGGATTCAATTTTGTTATTTGTTAGTGTAAATTGGTTGAATGCTTTCTACTTTTGTTCTTTTGTTTCTGCACAATAGCCAAACATGTAGTATATTTAATTTCAATTTTCAGATTTAATTTTATAAGTTTCCAGACTTTAATTATTTCGTAGATTCTCCTTCATTTTTAGTTATCAAATAGGTTATCAAGTAGTTTAGCTATTTTTATTTTAAATCTGCAAGTAATTGAGTTTAATTGTTATGGATTGCGTAATAGAAATTATTTTCTGTGATTTTACATTTTTTGTTGTTTGCGAATTTTATTTTTAGGGCATGTTGTTTTCTTTTATTGATCTTATGTTAGATTAGTTGCCTTAGGATTTTATGTTAATTTTAGGATTTGTTGTTTTTATTACACTTTTGTGATTGTGAAGTCCTTGGAGATTTCCAAGGCAATTAGTAACCCATTTTGTAGAACTCCACCCTCTATTTTGCAACATTGTCTGGTGCACAATTTATTTTCATAGACGTTCTTTTCAACCATCCATTGGAGGTTGACTGTTGGAAAGGAGAATGGTTGTCTGGAAAGGAGAATGGTCGTCTGAAAAATCTTGTTTTCTTGTTTTTAGACAAAGCAAGTGGCACGCCTAACATCCAAACTCACGTAGTAAAGGCCGGTTGAGGATTTTTGGGAAAACAATTACTCTACTAATAAACTACATAATTAATTATTAAAAATTAACATAAATTATATTAATGTAAACTTATCATA